CTTACGGAGTTTATATATCTCAGTTAATTCGATACGCAAGAGCATGCTCTACGTATTAACAAGTTCTATAACGAAGTAAATTATTGACAAACAAATTTATGAAACAACAGTCTCGTTTAAATTAATCATTTCATAAGTTCTACGGTCGATATAATGACCTTGTCAGCAAATACAATTTATCATAGAGTTAAATGCTGACTGACGTTTTTCATACTAATTGTTAGTCCATCATCTATAAAATGAATTGACGACGGATTTTCCCGTTAAATCCCGATTTGTGGTTTCTCTGTTTTATGGACTTTTGATCTTGATAAACTGTTCGTTATCTCCATATATTTCATTTCACAGGTCATTCCATGTAAGAAAAAAATGTGTTTTTTTAAATTAGAATAATCATTCGAACTTGCGGGTTTATCGTCAAGAAAAAAAGTGATACTTATCTGTATCCCTGTTTGGAAGGTCGTGAATTCGAATCTCGGTCGCGACTCACCTTATTCGATACAAAATGGGTAGCAACTGTTTCTACGACATGCGCTCGGCACCTTGAAGTGAAAGTTGCGGGTCCTTTGGATGAGACCTTTGAAACCGAGGCTCCCGGTGTCACGGTAGACGTTGACATGATAAAGATCTCTCACTGCTCAATGGTGGTAAGTGTAGAGTGAAGGTCAAAATCTGAAGTCATTCACCGATTTATGGTGAAGTCTCTATATGATCGCAATTTTTCTCGAATGGGACGTTAAACAACAATTAGTTTGTAGAAGAAAAACTTAATATATTGTATATGATCCATTGCATTACAAATCGGTTCCGTAAGAATAATTTACACGTTATGATTTTTTTTCCATTTGCCACGACGGGTGTGGATGCCCGTAACCGTGCAGACAAAAATCATCCTTGACTCTCTTCTGTTAATTCAAAAAACATATTTCAATGCGGACTGAAAGTTATTACAAACATTATTTTATTAGAAATCGAGATTCAGTCTTTCTTGAATACTACCACAATCACTGGTTGCAATGTTGAAAATACAACATCCCTTAAAAAGTATGTTCGCAATTTTAGACGCATCGGCAGAAAATCTAATTAAAATTCATAAATGTAAACTGGAAGGGTGCCAAATGCCCAATTTTATACCCACTATTACTAGTATTGTATATCACTATAATAGTGATATATCACTATTATAACGAAATTGATGTTTCCTCTCAACCTGCAAAAAGTTAAAGAGAGTAAAATCAATTTTACTTAAAATTATCCTTCACATACCGGAAGATGACTCCCCACTCTGCAACCCTAATAAAAAAAAGTATAAAAGTAAGGGGTTTTTTTTGGTATACGATAATTGCTATTTATTGTGATAATAACCTTTCCTCAAAACCACCCAAGAAAACTGAATGATCAAAGCGCTGGAGAAGTTTCTTTCAACGAAGCCAACCTGAACGTTTATTTTCAATTTGTCATCAATCAATATTTAAAGGCAAAAAGTAACACGTGCAGTATTCAATTGACTTTAGTAGCCACTTTATTGAATTATTTTATTGAAAAAAGAAAGTTTGGCAAATTGGAACCTAGAGAATAAACATTGTATAAACAAGCCAAATATTGCACTTGCATGAAATTATTATTATTCAAGCAATTTTCTAGGATATGCTCTTGAGAACGATGCTTCATTTTAATATATGGCTGGAATTTTATTGCTTTCAATTACATGTAATTACATTTTTTTTTATTTTGGCATAAAAATGATTATCACTGCTTTTAATGTCATGAAACATGTTTTTTAAAAAAAACTCATAGAATCAGGGCATGGCTAAAAAAAAAAAAACATTATGTAGCATTTTTGCAATATGTGAAGTTAGTATAGTTATTGTCATGTAGTGTATGAAATAATATGTAAAAAATGATTAATCACATGACATGTTAAATACAACTTTTGAATCAGTTCCAAAATTACATAATATTAACATGATTAATACACAAGATATGACTGAATAAAACTTGCAATATATTACAAAGTACCATTACTGGATTTATAAGGAGAACAAATCAAACTGATTCTGATATTTATATTTCACCTCTTGAACTGCATAAAGACGTGATTATTTCTGTAATCTAGTTTTCAGTGAGACGTGAACAAGCATTGTCCATACCGTTCCTGCAGTGAGAACAGCTGGTGTTCGTGTTGTTATTCTCGACAGATTGAGGAATGATATCACACTATTTCGGCGAATACTTACAAACAGATGGGAGGTCAAAACAGCAAATATGACGAACACTCCATACTTATTATTAATTAATTCTTCATTATGAATAGGAAAATTAAGTTTTCAGAAAGAAAAAAAGAGGAAGAATCTGTACTAAAACCATAAATGAGAACAAACCAAAGTCAATTTGAAGGTTTTTGTTTGTAATTTTGATTTTTATTTGACAAATATTTTAAGACAATCAAATTTTTCCTCTTTTTTTTTTTTTTTTTTAGAAAGTAATAATAAAGTTCTTCTCATTTTAAATCTGATTTTGACTTCAGATTGATTTTATAATTCATGATCTAAAGAAAAATCGAGCAAGGTTGTAAAATTCTCTTGTTATATGTTAAAGTTCGTACATCTATGTTTGTTTTCGCAAATAATTTAGTTGTTACTTGTAATTCAATACTGTTTAAACTTTTAAAAGCTTTATTTCTCTAATAACGATTTTAGGTGTGTTAATTTTTAAACAAGAGGTCCAAGGGCTTTAATGAACACCTGAATCAATTGAAATATGAAAATAACAAACAGCAATCATGCTAAAAAAATTCACTAGAAAAATACAAATCAGGTGAGCAGAGCAGACACAAACTTCTCAATACACCTGAGTTGGGACCAGGTGTCTGAATTGCAGGAGTAAGTATCCTTCGTCGGCTGCTCACACCTGTCGTTTGCCCCTGTGTCATGATCGGGAAAAAGAAAAACATCCGTAGATAATTCAGGGTGCAAATAATAAAGCAGCAACAAGTATGAGAAACGTCAGTCAGAATTCGATTTAATTAGGATATATTTGCAACGGCAAGGACATTGAACTGACCATAGGACTTGTGAAATGAATACTTTTAACGAGATTGTTGATATTCATATTTCATCAACTTGTTTGTAAATAGCTTGTCTGGATATAGAAAATTTTATCGTTAGGTTTTCATTAACATTTAATTTCTAGTAAAATATCCGATATGAAACAAATGAGTCGTTTTATTTCAAGCTCACCAAAATCTTAAACAGATAAGGTTTTTAAAGAATTTATTAATTAATTTTCACAATGAAATCAATAGAACCTTGCCCTCACAGCAGAAACATTGACCCTGGGCCAAGAAATTGCACTATTTGAGAGAGGCACTCTTCTTCCTTTTTTAAAATCATGCATGTTTGACTGCTTTATATACAGGAGTATGTTTTTATTTAATTGTAGTCCTTAAGACGTCCCTTAAGAGCAAGAATCACTTTTCTCCCTTTACCAAAATGTGATACATCCCAAAATTTCTTGAAATTTGTTCAGCAGTCTCAAAAAGTTAAAATGTAACGTACAGCACAAAATACACCAAACACGATGCACTAAGTAACCGTCAGAGGAAAATAGATAGATAGATTGTCCACTGTCACTCAGTGTCACAATTGACATAAAAGTGGATGAGGAAGAAAGCAGTATCCATTAGTTTATTTCAGTTCTTCGTATCTTGTTTCTTTTATCTCGGGGATGTTTTCTTGCGTTAATTCATGTCTTATAGTTTTGCAATAGATCTCTAAAGTATTCGTTTGTTCAATGAAGGTGTAATTGGTCTATATCTTAAGTCATATTTTTTTCACTAACGATTATGCTTTTTTTTTACCTTTTTGAAAGTTATATAGTTTTCTTAGTTTGAATTCCCTGGGATTAATAATTAAAATAAAATCGTTTACCATGCATGCATCTCCATGCCTTGCATTTATTTTTAGTGTTATAATCTTATTATTATACTTGTAATTAATCTGAATTTTCATTTTTTCTTACATTACAAGTATGCACCTGTACTTTCTGTTATAATTTGAATAAAACATATGTAAAATAACATAAATTAGTGAATTTTTTCCCACAAAAGCAACAATTTAGTTACTGTGCTCTGTTTAAAAAAAAACATGCCATTAGCATTTGCACATCATTTAGCTAGATTTCAAAATGTTTACACCGAACATTTTCCTTTGAAAGATCTTCGCGAAACTGTGTAAACGTTTTGGAGATTATGTGCATGTTTAGGGCATGTTGTCTTCACCGTGTCTTCTGGAAAGATCTGTGCAATGAACCTACTTGAAACTCTCCAAATGCTCACATACTTCACGAATGCTTTCAACGCAACGATATCGAACCTCATTCTTTGAATTTTCCTGGCAGATTGGGCAAAAAAAAAAAAAAAAAATCTTAGAAAAATCAATCAAAAAGTTATCAGTGTAGCGGGCACCTATATGGCAGTTCAAGGTGTGTTAAAATTATTAACAGAGAGTAAGTGTATAAATTCATCTTCAATGAAAGTAAGAATTATTGCAGACCAGTGTGTGTTATAGCAGATGTTTGACATATCGACAGATGAAGGATTGTGATCATTCTAATTCAATATCGTCCCCAATCAGAAGGATCTATGGAAATTTTACCGTGTAAATCTTCACAATCAATATTAGGATTTTATAAATCACAACAGTCGGCTATCGTTAAATTATCGCTTTGCTCAAAATTATTAACGAAAAAATGATGAATGTTTTTGTCTACCGGTTCATGCATTCACCTTTGCACAGAATTACATGACTGTATATATGACAAATTTCACGCACATTCACACAATTTTATAAAAACATATTTACAAAAACACAATCCCAAATTAACTCTAACAGAAACACCTTCCTACTTATAAATAATATAATATACATTATCAACAGAGCACTATTGTTCTATAACAGGCCAACCTCGTATATTTACAAATCATTCCCTCATTGAGACGTACATTTCAATGAAATCTCGCACATCAATAATAATTAGCTGTTGTTAGTCGCCTTGTGAAAAGAAAACCTGCTAATCTACTCGCCTCAGTTGCACAAATGCGTGTATCGGAGAGGACGCTTCTATTATTCGAGGAAGATTATTAAACAGAATGTGTAAAATACGCCGACCGTGTGTGAGAATCTGATAATTAAATTCTATATAATTGTAAGTAGATACTATGATCCTTTTGCTATGTTCAGATTTTTCCCCTCATTTTTTCCTTAAAGAATTTAAAATAAAAATTATTATTATTTTACATATATTAATTTGTTCGACATATGTGTTTTTAAAGAAGTGAATACTGTTATAGCAGAAATATTTGATAGAGATTATATTTCGTTTATTTTGCTGTATATCAATTATTAACGAAAATTGATCCAATAAGAAATTTTCTATGACTTAATATTGAATAGGGTTATTTGCAAAACAACGAAATTTTAACCCACGAAACTTTTTAACTGACAAATATTTGATCAACAAAACTTTAACCACACGAAAATATTATACAGAATTTTCAGCAAGTTCATGTAATGCATTCATGTAAGTGTTTATTTTTCTTTTCTTTTTATTGTTGTTTTGGGAAAGTGGTTTCTTTAAAACTGTTTTGTCATAAGCTTAAAAACAGCAGACTATTTAAATCTCAATCATTAGTTTCTAGCTTTCGTGATTTTAAATCTGAATCATGAATTTACTCATGATTGTACACTACTTTTTCACAATTTTTCAAAACCTGACAATTTTTTTTTACTCTTTCATTAATAAATTACGCACGGTCTTTTGACATACTTTTCATAACTAAAACACATATTTTTATATTGATATGTCACATCCAATTTTATTCTTAGTTTTCCTGCAACAGATTTTTGCTGGAGATGGTCCAAAAAACATGACCTTCAACAAAAATAAGTTCTTCCGCCTTGACTCTTAAGTTAAGACGGTCATTCATAGATTTTAAAAATGTTACTGTTTGTAAAATTTCATACTAAGAGCTAAGTGTTCTTCTCTTACTCATAAACAGCTATATCATTCACAAAAAGTTTAAACATTATCAAGACAGCTTTTTGTCTCCCTATAAGAGTATCTTTAAAAAGTATAAAAGAGACTTTTAATATAACATATGCATTAAGGCCCATGTAATTAAATTCTAAACCACCTCATCTTGCTTTTTTGAATGAAAAATTATCAAAAATTAAGCTACATTAAGAATATAAAGTTTTTTATGATACCAATGTAATTTGTCAATGGATCAAATTGATTTGTCAATTTACATTTAAAAAGTCGTAATCTAGCAAATGCTTTCAATGTCTTATCTTTTAAATATGTTATAGGGAGAAATTTTTTTGATATTTTGGAAGGTACATGAACATATGTTAATTGAATTTGAAAAATGGATCAATTATAAATTATGATGATTATTCAAAGATCTAGTATAAAGGAAATCTTTTACTTATTTAGCTCATGCAACATTGAAATATGATTTGTTGATATATTGTGTGCTTTTTCGTTTAATTGCCATTGAAAGATTGTATATAAATTCATACTATTTATAACACTTAAGGATACTGCGTATTTCAGGATGTTTTAGGCTGACAGCACCTACTGCGACAATAGGCTTTAGATGTATGTTTCATCCAAAGGATTCGAACCCACAACTTAAAGATCAATTCGCCTGTCAACATTAGACATTATATCAATCGCTTTAAACAAGACTCTTGATTTCATTGTTCTATCAACTTGTTTATTATATAAAATCTTGACTTGTTTTTAAAATTGTTTATACTCAGAGCATGTTGTTGTGTATCAAATCAACTATGAGATATTAACATCAGGAGATAAGGGTATATTACTAAACAAGTGAGTTGACGATAGAAAAAATGAAATCATCAAGTTTTTATGAAATGTTGATGATATATTGCCATAAGCGTCTTATTCTTGTAAAATATTCAAATATGAAACATATGTATGTTTCATCTGTGGTACATGTATCATTTGTTTCAGGTCCAGTAGTATTATTACGAATGGAGGTAACTTTTGTCAATTTATAATTCGTTGCCGAAATATCTAAATGCATGTCGAGCTGAAGCGAACATTTTCTCCTTCTTATGCATAGGTTTCTGCTTCATGTAAATACAAAAGTAGGTCTACTTATGACAGTGTGTCATTGGTATTCCGACAGTTTGTTGGAATACCCGATAGCCAAAAACTTCTTAGATAATGTCAATCATAAAATCGGGCTTGTTTTTATACCAGTTTCAGAGTACATTGTACGTGTTGTCACAATCAGAAAGTTTTAACAAAATAATTTTGCAAATGACCTATAACAGGGAAAGTAAATTTATTGAATTTCAAATATATTGAAAAGGCCACTGTCTATCATGTCGAAAATCCTTTTTCGTTGGGCTTAAAGTTATATACTGTAAAGTGTTGAATCGTATGTTTTGATAATACTGAACATTATAAAAAATTGTCATCTTTAATTTCATAAAGTGCTGATCAGGTTTTATTTATGTACCCACATTTCATTTACCCTATGTATCAAATATATTGCTGCACATTGCCACTTAAGTTTCTCTTTCGATGCTGTTAGTATTTAATTGAGTAGTAAAGTCTGAAAGAGGATTTAAGAACATTTACTTGTACCAGCTATGAATATTTTTAAGGAATTCAAAATCATTTTGCTTTTTGAAATATTTTAAAATATATAAAACCGAACAACGCCCTCGTTATAAAAGGGGCTTTGTGTATAAGCAGTCTTAAAAACAGTTCCTCTAAAACACAATGAAATAATGAGCCTTTAAAAGAAAATGTTACTTTTTTGTCAGCTGATCATGAAACTGCATAGTGCATAGTTATCGTAAATATTGAACTTAACATGTTCCACATGTCCATGTAATACCATTCTAACAAAGTTAAAAGTTTTTTCATAGTTGGGACCATCGCTTTGCGTAATACTGCAATCCACTAGTTTCTTTTCCGATGAAAAATCAACAACTCAGATTAGGTATATCAGCTAAATATTCTCTTTTGAGAAGTTTGTTGTAGAGGAAGAATAATAACAAGCCGTCTATATTTCAATAGAAATATTCACCTATATAGCTCCAATAATACAATTTTGGGTTCCCATGAGAAAACACAGGTCACTCAAAGAAAAAAAGGATCCCTGGTTAATGATAAAGAGAATCATTATTACTAGTATATGCTAAGAAAAAAACAACTTGTTCTATCCTCCCAACTAATTGAAAAGATAACTGTAAAAAAATCGGTATGGACCCCACCCCATTTTAGGAAAAAAAGTTCTGGATTCGCCCATGTCTGATACAATGAATTCATTATTTGCACAGAGGTTATATATCAAATTGTCTGAATAGCTTTATGTTATTGATACCTGGTAATATATTTTTTTTTCAAATAATAAATGCATTACATTAAGGCTGTGTGAAAATAATTCTCAATATGAAATAATATAACGATTACAATGAATTTATACTAAATAAACATAATTATTTTTCGTCTTTATGTAGATTGTTACCTTTATTCTTGTTACAACAACTTCCCCTTCCCAGTTCGTTTTATAATTGATTATGACGGCTGTTGATATCATTTGAGATGTATTAAATGCAGGACAAGCATATACAATATCAATTATCCCTAACCGTTCTAGCAGCTGACGTTTTATGTTTATCTTTGGGAGGAAGAATTTTGTACTTGATATCATCAATTTATTCCATTTCGTTTTCTAAATAGTTTAAATGTCTATATTGTTTTCAGTGAATGAGGACAAAGCCACAGTATATTGAATCTGTAGCTGTCCATGTTTCAGTAGAAAAATTAGGGTACCGTAGATTTTTATAGAATGATCGAAGTCATGGCCATAAAATATAGCCTATAGGGTATTGATATGCACTGGAGAATTACTTTGTTTTAAAAAAAGTATATAATTTTACTCTTTTTATCAACGTCCGATAAAAAAATATATATTTGCTCTCCTAATTCGAAATAAGTAGTGTATTACAAATATGTGCGTGTGGGTAGGTTAAACAAATAGGTAGCATATTATGACATTTATTAAGCAAATCGAAGCGATTGGAAGATAATATTAACTGCTCGTTGTCAATGATACTTTCAGCACAGCCTATATAATTCAGTCACATAAACTTTCACAGAACGATTCGCTAGGCAAGTCTCCGGAATTTTTGTTGAGACTCCATCGTAATTAGTGGAATTATATACGTTTTCTTCCTTCGTATTAGGAGAGCTTTTCCTATCTTTCAGGGCTTCTTATATATACGTCGGCTTCTTTTTTAATTTATAGGTCCTCTACATTATGGAGCGGGCCACAATAACCCGAAGCAGCCTCGGCTAATGAGTAAAAGGATTACCAATAGAGAAAAGCTGCACTACTGCAGGAATTGATTTACTTGCTCGCCAACAGTCCTGGGAGATGGCGGGAATGAGTGATATAAGTAATATCTTTACCTACCCGAGAAAAAATGGATAGTGAGGTAGAATCAACTATTGAAAAATGATGGGGATGAATTTCCCTTTGTGGACATTTATGGTTGAAAAGATATTTGTGATATTTTGTGTGCATTTATTGCGTGTTTGTGCAGAGAATCAAGCATTATCGGCTTATATTCCAGGGGACATAATTATTGGTGGACTGTTCCCTATTCACCAGAAAAGTTCCGGGGATCGCCGAGCATGTGGTGAAATCAATCTAGACCGAGGAGTTCAGAGAGCAGAGGCCATGTTACACACAATAGATAATATTAACAAAAATCCTGAAATACTCCCAAAGATCAAATTAGGCGCTAAAATATACGATACTTGCGCTCGGGGAACGTTTGCACTAGAACGATCTTTAGAATTTATTCGTGGATCATTTACATCCATAGATTCGTCCGACTTCTCATGTGATGATGGTTCTAAAGCGAGGGCAAATGTGACGTATGAAAATGTGGCTGGAGTCATAGGAGGATCGTATAGTAGTGTTTCGATTCAAGTAGCAAATCTTCTGAGACTCTTTAAGCTACCGCAAATAAGCTATGCCTCAACAAGCGCCGATTTGAGTGATAAGGCTAGGTATGATTATTTTTCCCGAACAGTTCCACCGGACAATTTTCAGGCTAAAGCTATTGTGGATATTGTGGAATATTTCAACTGGACATACGTGTCCACAGTAGCGTCAGAAGGAGACTACGGCCAGTCGGGCATTGACGAATTCAAAGAAAAGGCAAAGGCACGAAATGTTTGCATAGCAGAGTCTATAAAAATATTGTCCAATTCAAATCCATCAACGTTTGATGATGCCATTATTAAATTAAAAGCTAAAGAAAACGCTAGAATTGTGGTGCTTTTTTTGCGTATTGAGGACGCAACGAACTTGCTAAATGCAGCGACACGAAAAGGTGTGGCCTCAAGATTTATTTGGATAGCTAGTGACGCATGGGGGACGCAGGAAAAACCTGTCCAGCAAAATGCAGATGTTGCTGAAGGGGCATTGACGATTGAGTTGCAATCTACATTAATTCCTTCTTTTGATAGATATTTTATGTCACTGACCCCATCTAACAACAAAAGAAATCCCTGGTTTCCAGAATTCTGGGAAAATGTACACAATTGTTCTCTTTCAGACAAATATCAAGACCAGATTGATAAACCAAAATGTAATGGTAGCGAAAGACTGTCATCTGCAACATTTAAACAAGAAACGAAAGTGCAGTTTATTCATGACGCGGTACATGCTATTGCTAGAGCAATTGACGCAATGTTGAACGCAACCTGCAAAACAGAAGATTTATGTGATGAAATGCGTCAAATTAATGGAAAAATTTTGAGAGATTATATTCTAAATACGACTTTTGACGGTGAGTAATATAAGTGGCAGTAGAATACGTTAAGATAAGCTTTATTTTTCCATAATTCAGTTTATTACGATGCGGAAGTTCATTGTCACGCTAATGCGACCTCACGACAGACTTCATCTGAACTTTGCTGCTAGCCCTGAATGCCATCTGAAGCATGCATCTCTGAAAGATAAAATATTATTTCTCCATCGAGATCCAATAGTGTTATAATCTACAAAATCAGAGTAGTGCGCTCGGCTTCACAGAATGATAGAAAATCTGTTAATTTCTAAAATGGCTTTCTATTGACTTAGAAGAGAATGAGTTTTCTGTACTGCCGATTTGATGATAATGAAATTTCCTGTCAAAGAGTTGGATGCGCGATTTTTTTTCTTATATAGTTTTGATGCTCGAAGCAAAAAAAAAAAAAAAATGAAAGAGGGGAAGAAAAAATTCAGAATTTCTTTTCGTTCGACACAACTTTTCATTTAATATTTCCTTCGGGCTAGGTGGGAGATTAGAAATTGTTTTTCCATTACAATGTTTCTCTTATGGCTTATCTGTCACGTCAGAGCATGCACAAGTCTATTTGTTAAATTATTACTGGCCTGCCTTATTCGGACTATGAATATTTTCCCATCATTTATTCATTAAAAGTTATGATGTCCCATGAATTAGAATTTAATATCCAACTATATTTTAACATTTTATGACTTTTGAAACGAATGAAAAATCATTATATATCAAGAAATTAGTATCAGAGGTAACTGCAATGAATTATTCAACCATTACGTAACAATTAAAAACATCGTCCTGATTATTAGCATTGGGTAATAGTTTTGTGGATTGAATTTTCAGGATATAAATTCCCATGTGATCTTTAACGGAAAATTCGATTATATCTAGTTGGAGGAAATTGTGAATCAACAAACATCGAATTTATGATAGCGTTTTGCAAAGTAGAAAAGGCCTTATCTGTTTATCCTAGAGAGACATTGAAATTTTAAAATTTTCCATTTTGAAATCTTGAAAATAAAATTTCATCTTGAAAATAAAATTAATAAAATTATCATCTCCGGACCGGCTGACTAATAAAGGCATACTAGTAATTTTTTAAACCTTCAGGAGCCGATTATTTTTTTCAGTAATTTTTGGGCTATTCCTCATCAAAACTTTTTTTTTTGGAATTTATTGCTACATTTTATTAAGGAGAGATGATGCAAACAATGTTTTTCTTTGGAAGAGACTTAATATCATGTCACAAGAGTGGATAATTCTCATGTTTTCTCAAATTTGGAAAATGAAAAGTGGAAAACATAAATATTTCAATAAAATTACAAATTTTCTTACAGATGAAAACGAATTTTAGAAAATGTTACATCGGTGCTAAAAGTGTAATATAAACTTAAGAAAAGTATACCAAGCCAGGTGAATTTTATCAGAAAAAGCGAAATGGTAAAAATCAGCCTATATGATATTGCTAATTTCTTGTCATTTTGCTGGCTTGGTATATTTTTCTGAAGTTTATATTACACATTTAGCACCAAAATAGCATATTCTGAAATTTGTTTTAACCTGTAAACCTTTACTGAGTGTGATTTCTCTATGTTTGCTTTTCTATTGAAATATTATACACATTTTCCGAGTCTATTTCATTTTTCACTTCTTAGGAGAAAAAATTCTAAGAATTATCCACTTTTCTAAATTTGTGACATGATATTAAGTCTCTTCCAAAGAAACAAATTTGTTTGTATCATCTGTCCTGAAAAAACTAGAAAATATTTCACCCTAGCTTTTTTTGTTATAACAGATTCAAATTTATTTATCCTTATTTGGAAAAGGGCTAACAAACATTTTTTGAAGTTGGCTGAATCTTAGAAGTCGGGGCTCAAACTGAAATAATAAGCTTTCAAGTTGATATAAGGTTAATCTATAAAATCTAACAAGGAATATATAATCGTTTTGCTTCCATATATTGTGGTCTAAGATTTCTAATATACCACTTCAATATCTTAAATTCAAGCCTTAATATTCATAAAATATATTTTGCAGAGAAAAAAATAGAATATTTTGCTAGAAATTTTTTCCCGAAGTTTTCCTGTGATGACGAATGCTGTTGCGCCATGTGAAAGTTATATCTGTGATAAAAAAAATATTACATGCAAAGGCCTATTAAGGAATATTAGTAAAACAAAATAAAAGGTAATAAACTTTTGAATTTGCTACATAAATTACACAATACGAACATTAGATTTAGCGCGAACATCAAATGAAACACCATAAATATTGTAAAGTCATAATTATTAAAGCTGAGTTTTGAAATCAAGATCAAAAACTTTCCCTTGCATGTGTATTTGTTTTGCTTTCATGTAGTATCAAATTAGTTGCTATTACCAAAAACATTGCCCCTGCAAATATTTAATGCAAGTCTGCACCAGACAATACTTCAAAGTTGCTGCAGAGATAGCTGAAAGCTTTCTGTAGTGAATTAAAGAAGCCATAACTGCCCTTTCTAACCCTTTGTGTTTGCAGCAAGTTTGCGGCGTGTATACAGAAAGCTTTAAAAAATATTTTATCATGCAAATAAGGTTTGCTTCAAGTCTGCAGCAAACTGTATTCCAAATATGGAAATCATACTGCCATCTTTCAGTAAACAATGCTGCATATTTGTGGTACACATTTCTGCACACTTGCGGTAAACATTGCTGCACACTTGCTGTACACATTGCTGCAATTTTGCGATAAACATTGCTGTAAAAGTACTGCAGACAGGTGTTATTATTTTTCCAACACTCCTGTATATAAGAAGCACGTTTGCAAAAAAAACAAAAACAAAAAACAAACAAACAAACATTAATTTTGTCCTTACGAAAATAATTATTAATGTATTTGAAATGATGCAAAGTTCTTTATGTTCCTAGACAATGTTCCCATTCTCTTCATTATTAAAATGTCATATAAAATGTTTATTTCTGACATATACAGAAAATTAAAGAGCCTCTGCACATGATTTTATAATGAAATATAAAACAGAACACTTTTCTTTTCATTTGGAAAACATTTATTTTAATTATAATTGATATGAAACCTTTAATACAATAATGAAACATACAAATGTGAAACTAGCATAAATACTGAAATTCATAAGTAAAATTGACCTACATTAGATACTCAAACATGATTTAAAGAGATAATTGTTTCAGAATAAGATTAGATCTTACCAATCAGATGGTGCATTCCAAATTTCACCTACTTCCGAATTAAGGCTTTGTTAATCCTTCAAAATTGGGTACATTCCTAGTAAAATAATTAATCATCTATGACTTCATTTCACACATTTTCAAATGGCGAAATCTGCGTTGACCTCAAGACAGATTGCTTTGGCTTATTCGATTTCTTAACTATTCTTGTGAGTTTCCAACATCCATTTTGTTAAATGTTCCCTGTAAACTCGCGACAAACAACAGTTTTTTGCAATGTTCCTGTAAACATATTGAGTACCTACAAATATTCTGCAAGCTTGCAACAATTGCTGCATTGTTTGCCCCAACAGCTAGCGGCAGCCATCAGCAAACAAGAAAATTTTATTCCTGCGAACAATTTTGTTTGCTGCAAACTTGCAGCAGACTTGCTGCCTATCTGTAGCAAACGTAACAGTAAGGGTACAGACATAAACGCATATGAAGATGATGTTAAAATATTGCTATATTAGTAAGGGATGTTGACGATTGAAAAGCTGAAATCCATCATTTGCCATATAGTTTACTTATTATTTGGTCATTTTCTTCTGTAGTCACTAAAACCTCAAAATTTGACAAAGACGTGACAGACTTTTTAGAATAATGTCGAGTTCATTCGGATACGTCACTACAACATCTGAATGAAATAAATGTATTTAAATGTCGAGGGGAACGTTTTTGTCTTTTCATGTAGAAGTTTTTAAACAAATTGTACTTCATACATATGTAGGAATATAAAACAGGATGGCAAAACAAAAGCAATAAACTGAGTGTCCATCGAAATTCTATCTACAGTATGTTGTAAGACCTGGTCTTCAAAGATTACAGAAATTATATCGTCAATGAGAAACTCTGGAATCTTTTTAATATCATAGAACTTGTATGTAAAATCAGAATGATTTTCTTTCAGAAAAAAATAATTTTGTAAATGATGAGTTATGCAAATTTCATTTAGGAGGCAGTTGCCCAAAAAGACAAAAAGCTCTTTAGAAGGGTTATATAATTTGTAGAAAAGTAATATGTTTTGACGCTTTTGGTGTTTTAATTGCTTTACAACTTTAAACGTTTTAGAATCCATTAAGATCTCTTCTGGAAAATATACTTTTACAATACTTCTGCAGTTTCTTCTTCACAGCAATTCAAATTTTGTCACCTGAGAAGCAAAGGTCTTAATTGAATAATTCATAAATATATTGAATGATTTGGTAGATCTTCAACCAAGCTCCTGACTTTGCTTCTCAGGTGACAAAATAATTTTGTTAAAATTTCCATGAAGTTTTGGAATAAAATATAGGTAGATCAAAAAAGAAATTAAAACTGAAAGTTAATTTAAAATTTCATCTTTTGAAAGGAAATTTTGAATATACTTGATACTTGAGTCTGTTGGATTATCATGTGGAATTGCAGTTGTATAAAAATGCAGTTACACAATGAGACCAAAGAATTTATTGGTAAAAGCTTTATTATTTAGAATCATAACACATTTTTTTCATCTTATTCTTACCTTGTAGGCCCAAATGAAAAGAAGAAGAAGAAAAAAAAAAATAGATTTGCAATGTGTAAAACGGTTTTAAGAAGTGATCAGCAGTTTCAGATCAATGAATAGACAGAAAATGTCATTTCAACTTTGTGAATCTGCTTTCACTGTACATTGATGGTATACTGGAAGTTTAATCTTGGTCATTGAGATAAGCAACTGACTTCTACGACGAATGTTATCGATTCCAATAATTAACAAGGCGGCTTCCACCTACTATCCCCAGAGGAACTTGGCTCTCGATCCCGATCCAAATGTCTATAGCCTTTAATTTACTTAGATTTCTATCACTCACCTCTGGCCAATTCGTCTACGACTGTTATTTTCCAAAAAATTGATTTCCCTGTCCAACACTGGAAATTATAAGTGCAATAAGTTAATATTAAATCCCCTTCTTGTTCATTACGCTAGAGTTATTGACAGTAAGATTTGTAAATATTTCCTGTTTGGAAAGGGATACAGAATGTAGGAAGTTTAGGTTCATAATACCCATGGGCACTCATAGTTTATAACATTTGCATAACTCATTATAATTAAAAGAAACGCATTTTATACTTACGATGCAAAGTTATTGAGCAAAAATTATGGGACAAATTTAGACGTCAAAAGTTACATTTTAAATGTTAATTTCATGAAATTGCAATAGAATTTATTCACCTAAGCGTTATTTCTCTTATCGGAGTATAAAAAAATCCTTAAATTGCTTATATTTTGTTAAATTACCAAATCCTAGATGAAGAAACTACAATTACAAAAAGTTCTGATTAAAATCACTTGATTTCCTTTTTGTAGATGGTTATGGTGCTCTTGTCAAATTTGACGAAAAGGGTGATGCTATGGGGAGATACAACATAATGAATTTTCAGTGGAACGAAACATCCCATTCCTACCAATATTCCACTGTAGGAAGCTGGACAGACAGATTGTCGCTAGATACGGACAAAATTATTTGGGCGGGACGAACCAAGGAGACACCGTCATCGAGATGTAGCAGGCCTTGTAACTTCAACGAAATCAAATTTGTTGGTAAAGATGGCGACACCTGTTGTTGGGCCTGCATTAAATGCCAAGAATGGCAGTTTCTAAAAGACGAATTTACTTGTGAAGATTGTGGAGAAGCGATGTGGCCTAACCCGGATAAACGAGGTTGCTATAGACTTCCGGAACAGCACATAAACATCGTTTCTGTTTATGCCCTGATTCCGGTATTTCTTTCATGCATTGGGTTGATCGTGACTTTCACGGTAATTGTTACATTTCTCAAACACAACGACACTCCGGTTGTTATGGCGTCTGGACGCGAGCTAAGTTATATGTTATTAAGTGGCTGTGTGTTGTGTTATTTAGTTACATTTGTTTTAATTGCTCGCCCGTCGACGATAACATGTGCCATACAGAGAGCCGGAATCGGACTCGGTTTCTCTGTTATATATTCCTCATTACTGACCAAGACAAACAGAATTTCACGTATATTTGACAGTGCAAGGAAGTCTGCGCGAAGACCTCCATTTATCAGTCCAAAGTCCCAAATTGTGATTACATTGGTACTAATATCAATTCAGGTGCTATTCAGCATTGTTTGGCTGGTCTTAGAAAGGCCGGGGACCAGACTTTACACTCCTAAAAATAGACGCAATGAAGTGATTTTAAAATGTAAAACAAATGATATTTCTTTTCTAGTTTCATTGCTTTATAACATAATTCTTATAATCGTGTGTACCCTTTATGCCATAAAGACTAGAAAGATCCCTGAGAATTTCAATGAATCCAAATTCATTGGGTTCGCCATGTACACCACCTGCATCATTTGGTTGGCGTTTGTGCCTATATACTTTGGGACTTTAAATTCATTTGAGGTAAGTTTGATGATTTTTTATGCTAACTTACATTCAGAAAACTAGGACAGAGAGCATGATTGTGACATGAAATTGCTGAAATGCCTGAAGCTTATTTTCTGCATGCAGAGCAAGAAAACAGGGTTAATGAAATTTCCAGCTCAATCAACTTGGATTCTTGGAAGAAGACTTTCAATTAATTGTGGAAATTTGAGCAAGCCATCTTGCACATTTGAGGAAAAAAGCTATGTTTGATGCAATTCTTGGCGATTTGGCACCATTTATTATGTCAAAAAGTTCCCTTTATTGATCTAAAAATTGTAAACTAAAATATCAAATGTTCCAAAATAATGTATATTAATTTGCTTCGGTGAGAAAAGAACTCTGAGAGTCTTTAGAGTTAAATTAACTGGTGCAATGTAATTTTCCTCCAAAATAAGATTTAGTTTGTAACCAGCAGCTGTGCAGTCCGAAAGACGATTATGTTTTAAGACGTTTTTCATCTACTGCTCGCTAAAGATTCTTGTTGGTATGAAATCGGATTAAGTATCTTTAGTTAGAACAGATACACAGTTAATAAAATCGATGAAATCACTGGTTACGTCCGTGGTTGAACGTTTTCAAAAAAAAAGTTAATGGGCTGAGAGAGTCGGGAAAGAAAATATATATTCATGACGAAATTGGGTTATTTTGTCGCAATAAAATTGTTATTATTGTTCATTTACTTTAAATTTTAATGAATTCACTTAGCTATTTAGTAATGAAGAGTTGGTCACAAGGATAAAATAAAAATAAATAAAATTTCTAATCATGGAAGTTAAGTAAAATTCAATATCTAGCAATCAGATATGTTACAGGTTTATTGCAGAAAAGCAATCTTTGCATGGCAAATAAAGCGCCATCTAGACACCATTAATGCATTAAAATATATAAGATGATATAGATGTATGAAATATACATGTACTAGTAAATGGATGAAATTACAGTGAAGATCCATCATTGCATTATTTTCATTATTAAATGACATTAATATCATTTTCATACTGATTTTTAAGGCAATTTTTACATTCTTCACGGATCCCCCCCCTGTTATTTTCCCATCATGATAAGGAGCACACGGTGGGTGTGACCAATTAGCAAGGGATGCTCACTCCTCCTTGGCAACTTATCCCACCTATCATGTTTTGGAGGTCCGTGTTTGCGCTGCTTCTATTTTGTTATGTTTAATGGACTTAGGAGCTCGTTATTTCCACATATCGCATAAATATGTATACATATATATATTTTATCTTGTTAATTGTTAATTTGTCATTAATCACATATTATATATATCAACACATCAAAACGCTAAGTATGCGTTCCAAACTTTTTAAAAAAAATTATTACTTCCTCAACAAAGCACTCACCAGAGCTGTTTTTAGTTGCTCTCATAGCGTATTGTTTTCAAGATCTTCAGCTTTAATTGGATAACCATAGCATTGAAATTTTCTCAATCCTGTTGTGAAACCTCAGGATAAGTCTATTGACAATGCCTTTTTATGATACACGAAAATGCATGAAAGTTTTTCAGGGTATGTTGTGCAGTTTTGTAATTGATATAAATTTCAATGTAAACTGATTAGGTAAAACTCAATAGCTGAGCTGACCATTGTGGTCGGGGGAACCTCGAGCTCTTCACACGTTCCAGGGGTGGGCCGCGAAGATACACCTGCTGTGTTTGTGTATTGTTTGATGAAGTTGATGAATTAAGAATTTCAGCTGTCTTGTTTAAAGTAATAATTTCGTAAGTTCTATGGTCAATACAATCACCTTGTCAGCAAATACAATTTATCATTGAGTCAAAGGCTGACTGACGTTTTCATACTCATTGTTAGTCCATTATTTATACATTGAATTGACAACAGATTTTTCCGTAGTCAATCCCGATCAAGGAGCACACGGCGGATGTGACCAGTCGGCAGGGGATGCTCACTCCTCCATGGCATCTGATCCCACCTCTGATGTTTAGGGGTCCGTGTTTGCTCTGCTCCTTTTTTGTATTGTTTTATTGACTTTTGATCTTGAATACTGTTCGTTATCTCCATATGTTTCATTGTATAATCTATGTGATTTTAGAGGTGTTACTTAACCGAAGGGTAACAATTGACTGTCCTCAAACATGTACAAATGCTTAGTATCCACTAACTCAAAGTAAATATGGGTGGCTATTGCTGATTATCAATTAAAATAAAATTGAAACTTGGGGGAATATATTGGCATCCTTTACAGAAACCACTGGAAAACATAGTGTTATAAACTTGAGGTTGCCATGCGGTTTCCATACAGTTACCGATGATTGGAAACTGCACTTTTCCTCCAGTGAATCAAAACATTAATTGTAAGTTTTCAAATTGTTTACTTCCTTTTAATACGCTGGCGGTTTTCCTACCCAAATGAAAGAAGGCCTAATTTGATAAGATACGACTGTAAAGGAGTAAGTATTTCGAGAAGGCATCAAAAACCTGTATTTCGAGGAAGTACT